GGAAATGACTGCTTCATCTTGAAATTTAGGGTTTAGCGTCGCTCAAAGGACCCCAAGCGGCAAAAACATGCTTCCAAGTGTACACTATACAAAACATGAGCGCCACATACAGGCATGTTTCATTCACTCAACACCGCCAGTTTCGGAAATGAGTGCTTCATCTTGAAATTGTTTAGGGCAAAGAGGTCAACATGTATTCATGGGGTGCTGTTTTGAGTTGTGTGTTAATTTTGGGCTGGGCCCGGGATGGTGACCGACCTCATCGTGGACGAGATGGTATAGTTCAAGGACTATATGTCCATTCGCAGCTGTTAGCTGCTCAAGAAGGGCCCTTCTTTTAGACAGCTTTGTACAGATTTCCCTTTGCCCCCGTGGATAGATTCCTTGTTTTCGTGAACCTGATCTTCCAGCTCACAGCCGGACGGCCAGAGGAGTCGAAAAGGTTCGTGTGACTTGGGATAGATCCTTACCCTAACCTCGGAGCGTTCACCTAAACCCCTTGCAACTCGCAGCCGGACTGGCTAGAGGACACTGGGAATAGGTGGGTGTTCAGGTGGATATCTTATTGGGTGTACAACACGCAGCCGGACGGCTAGTGGATACATCTGGTGGATAGGCCATCAACCCCCTGGAGATAGCAACTCTAGGGATCCTTCCGGTAGTCGACGCCGGGAGTGGCTTAGGAATACTTGACTAGCTATCTTAATCTAGCTTCAAATATAAACATTAAAGTCAGAAATAAAACTTAGACCAGCCTATGATGAAATGTGGTAGGAATGATTGAAAGTCAAGGGGATGAAAATAGACCACCGTTAGATAAAATTATAGACAGGAGAGCAACATCATTTAGAAACAGTCAGTTCGGCAGTCAATTTGATAACGTTGACTTTTTGGGATTGAAGAAGCAAGAAGAGGATGAAGTCAAGAAAGATTTAAGAAGAGCACAACTAAATCATTATGGCGTTACGAATGGTGTATCAACTGCTGTAGCAGCTGTGGCAGGAATGCAAACAGGTGCATCAACGAGTGGATATGATACACCGGCAGAAGCATATGAAAGTGAAGAAGAGGGATATCCAGACCACATTCGGAATTTAGACGATGCATTGAAAAGATTGAGGGACCTATCAGAACAAAGAAAGCACGTAGAAGATGCTCATCGTGGAGAGCAGGTCATAGCACCCAGACGCTCGTCGCAAATGGGAGACAACAATCCCAGACGTTTGTCTCCCAGAGATCTCCCAAAGTGCATCACAGAAACCCTTCCCTTAAACTTTAAACCACGGCGAAATGCAAAACCCCTTAAAAGGTGCTGAAAAGTGCATGTTGTTGACAAAGCCACATTGCTAGCCACATGCTTTTGACCCTGAGATGTCAAGCTCGGCTTCCTCAAAGCCGCGCTGAACAACGAGGACCACTACGTCACGGTGGTCATGCAAGCCGACGCCGTGTTTGCGTGCGTAGCCTGGACGTCCGAAAAAAGCCACGACGTCAAGGTCGAGGCAGCCGTCGGACTGAAGGGCTACTACATCAAAGACGTGATGAGCGGCCGGAGGCCTAGGGGGCGAGAGATACACCTCAATGTTGGAGGCAACGGACAGGCGTTTTAAGCCACTTGAGTCTGCCAGGGGAGGGCGGCCCGCGAGGGTGGGCGCTTTTTGAAGCTCAGACCCGCAGGCCGCTCAGAAAAAGGTGGGACAAGCGCGGCTTCATAGGGCAAAGCAAGGGCGTGATGACCAAAGAGGCGCAGGACAGAATGGGACACGTGTTCCAGCAAGATGTAGACAGTGTGTAGACCTGCGTGGCCCTGGCGCTCGCGTGCGATGCATTTCTGAAGGAAAAGGAACCCTTGGTCAAGCCGCTCGGCTGCATGATGTGCGTGTCATAGTGCATGTCACAGCATTGGCTGGCTGTGGACCGCCGCCCCTTTCAACATTTTGGCCGCGTTTGTTCATCTACCCCGACTCCACGAAAGGACCTTCGTGCCATTGAGTCAGAGCGCCCACTTTCAGGCGAGCTTGCGAGCCGGAAGCCCTCGTGGAGGTGGCGTGCTCGCAACGCTGACGTTTGGCCGGACTAGTGCCAGTCTAGAGCGAAACTCGATGTGAGTTTCAGATTTGCTTGCGTTCGACAAAAGTGAGGGGGCCCTCGTACTTCTTGAGCATATGATGCTGGGCATGTATCACGATCGCGATGGCTCAGTTTGCAGACGCACGCCGCGTACGCCAAGCTTTCAGGCTGTCATACACCAGTTCGTTAGAAGCCTCCTTGACATCATGACACAGTTGGACATCATCAGCGGCGCAGTGGCTTGGACTGTGACGTTCATGAGGCGAGCGGGTGGACCGTAAACCCGTGCGAGGAAACCTTGTTCATCTCAGACGAGCGGAAAGAGCTCAGCGCGGTCACTCGCGTGCGACGCATGCAAATGCGGCCACTCCACCCTGCGTTACGTGTTTTGGATGCTTCAAAAACCCGCGCGGAAACGTTTCGAACTGGGCTAGTGTTTGCACTCCCCTGCCACGACTTCGAGGAGCACGGCGGCGAAAAAAAAACCATGAAGCCCAACAGCCTTAACCTTCCCTTATAGCTTATAACCATAGAACGTAAAGCCCAAAGCCAAAGTAGAGGTCTAGATCAGGCTAGTGGACGGCAGCGTTGACCTTTGGCTCAGTAGTTCCCTAGCCCACGATGATTCCCCAAGAAGCTTCTCCGAGCAGTCGAGAATCGCAACCCGGACGCACATGATATTCAACCAAGCTACTTCCTTCGACACGCGACAGAAAATGCAAGACCATCACCCCGTTCCTGGAGCTGACTGTGCAGGGGCTTGCCTGGATTCTGCACATACCCCGTGATGCCAGCCTCACGATCAATCGTCTATCAGGGCAAGATGCTGTGGCAGGTGACAGATCTGGAGCAAGTTTGGCAAGAGCTCCCGCAGCTGCAGCGAGGGCATCTTTGGATCTCCTCACAGACCTGCTGCCCCATCTTTGAAGAGAAAAAAGGCCACTGCTGAGCAGTTTCGCTTCGATGTCGAGTTTGCAAGAGATCGGCGCAGACCAGACGTCGGAAGTGCTGAGTATAGCCCGCTGCTACAAGGTTCAAGAGGAAACGATAGCTTACAATTCAGATTGCGTATTTCTGCTAGGCATGGCTCAAGGTGCATGTGAGGCACGTTGACTTGCTGCAATACCTGTAGGGAGATCTTCCAAGCGGAGTGGGGTTTGCGAGCAATCATCCGGCGCCCTTCATTGCGGCGTCAGGCGCGCAACGATGTGACGCAGAGCCAGGGCGCCAATATTGTTGCTGAGGGCTAGTTTGCATTCCTCAGGGCTGTTCTCGGACGTGCCGCGATGGTTGTTCTGGTAGTCTGGCAAACACACGGCCAGGTTCAGGGGACCAGTCTAGCATATGGCAGCAGTGATCATGGAACAGGTATCGCCGCAACTTCCTGGCAGCATGGCGCCACCGAGCTCTGGCCTCAGCGCCGGTTTGGTTTAAGCCTCTGGGTCCCCTGTGGTACCCGCATCACCTCAATCATCTATACTCATCCCTCCCTCAAGACGGATTGCACTAACGATCCTTATTTCAGCGTGTGTTTGGTCGGAATGTGACATTGTTAATAGGTGGCAGTTTTATCTCTGCGAACACTTTTGAGGGGTCTTGCTCTTGGAGTGGTCCTGGAGTTGGGGTGCTGCCGGAGCGGAGTGCTCTAAGAGGGGTCTTGCGGTGTTTGTGGAGCTCCCAGCCTGGTCATGAACAAGCCCTAGGTCTTACGCAGGTCTTACACCGCTTGGGGTCATGAATGCACGAAAAGGCATAGCTTATGCCGAAACCCGCAACGCCTGAAGTTCCCCCCACCCCCCCCCCCCCGCCCCCTTCTCAAAAGGCGTCACGGCTGCCGTGCCTTCGTTGGTGTTCGCCTTGCTCAGCATTGCGTGGACGCCGTGCTTGGGAGAGGCGGCAGACCTGTTTTTTTTTCGGATGCTGCTGCAAGAACCTATCAGCAAGAGTCATCATGTTTACCTAAGTTTACCTGGCTGAAAAAGGGGACGGGAGGGGGTCCTCTTCCTGAGAAGAGTTGTGAGAGATTGTGCCCTCAATCTGCTCAAGCGTTACTAGACCTGCACGTTGGCAACTGGTTGTTATGGTTCTTTTCATGTGCTCCTCCTCAGGCTTTAGGCCGCAGGCCAAAAATCAAACTCCGGCAGGTCGCCTTGGAGATGTCAAGTTGCAGCTTCGACATCGATACGTGTGCATGGCTCAAGGCGGGCAATGCCAGTTGGCAGCGTGCCAGCGGCCAGGGCAGCGGTGGGTGGTTGGAGGCCGACGGCAATGTCTCGGACGGGCAGGCGCTCATCGTCGAAAGCCCGATCTTCACTCCCACCGCCGCAGAGAAGGGTCTGGTCTTTTCGTACATGATGACTGGACTGAGCTCAGTGTTGGAGGTGGAGCACAAGACAGAGTTCGCGAACTGGTCGACCTTGTTTGCAGACAGCGGAGACACGGGCGCGACGGGCGCGGCTTGGAAGGGTAGTTCCATCCGAGTGCCCGAAGGCACGGTGGGCCTTCGGCTCCGAGCCGCTGCTGATGTTGGGGCTGTGGTCAAAATGGATTGGATTTTGGCTGTGGAAAGAGCGAATTGGGCAAACATTGGTTGCACCTTCGAGGTTGGCTTCTGTGGGTGGTCCTCTGGTTTTGATGAGCGCCGGTGGGCCGCACAGCGGGGCCCTACCCTGCGGGCAGCCAATGGGCCGGGGCAGGCTTTCGAGGGGGACGGGTACATTCATGCGCAAGCTCTTGACGCTTACAACGAGGCAGGGTGCACGGGAGCCAGGACCGCTTGGATCCGTTGACCCCGATTCCAGAAAAAACACCGTCCCAAATATGTTTCATTACAAACATCACTGCGCCCCATCCGATTGCAGGCCTTTTCCCTGACATCTCCGATGTTGGAGGGCAGCAATATGACGAGGCATCTTCGCTTTGCTTATAACATGTACGGCAACGACATTGGAAGCTTGCGGTTGGAGTTTTTGGCTAGCAGACGCTGGACAACGCTTTGGCTGCGAGAAAGTTCTCAAGGGCCGGGCTGGAAAACCGACTACGTTGCCATTCCGCAGGATGCGGAGGTTTTGCGGTTCGTGGGCATCACTGGCAATGCTTCGATTGCTTTGGACGGCCTCGGTGTTGGTGTCGGCGTACCTGTTCTGGGCCTGGAAGAGCTCGCCTGCGATTTTGCATGGGACACATGCAGATGGCTCAACACGGGCAATGCCAGTTGGCAGCGTGCCAGTGGCCAGGGCAGCGGTGGGTGGTTGGAGGCGGACGGCAATGTCTCCGACGGGCAGGCGTTCATCATCGAAAGCCCGATCTTCACTCCTAACGCCGCAGAGAAGGGTCTGGTCTTTTCGTACATGCTGACTGGATTGAGCCCAGTGTTGGAGGTCGAGCACAAGACAGAGTTCGCGAACTGGTCGACCTTGTTTGCAGACAGCGGAGACACGGGCGCGACGGGCGCGGCTTGGAAGGGTAGTTCCATCCGAGTGCCCGAAGGCACGGTGGGCCTTCGGCTCCGAGCCAGCCTTGCTGCAGGGGAAAAAGCGACAGTTGGTGCGGTCTCCATTGCGGAGGTTGTGTCCAGCTTCGCAAATATGACCTGCAGCTTCGAAGTCGATCATTGCGGGTGGTTCTCAGGTCCTGGTGTCTGGCAGCTCGCTGGGACACAATCGGGTGTCACGGGCCCCGATGCAGCCTTCCGCAGCGACTCTTACACTGCCACCGCAGTCCGAATGAGCAGCGATCTGACTCCAGAGGCAGGGCCTAAGCAAGCAAGGGCGGTGTGCAAATCGCTCTTAGACGGTTGAGGGGTAGCTTTCTGCCGTGCCAATGGCTGCGAACGATTGGGAGAGCTTGCGGTAGTTGTTACATGTTCGCCCTCATTCACCTTCACAGGCCATCCTGACGAGTCCCGTGTTCCCCGCAGCCGCCAGCAAGTTCTACTTGGAGTTTGCTTATCACATGACGGGCCAAGGGATAAGAAGCCTGGAGCTTTTGTACCTTCATCGAGGCCATTGGTCACGGCGCTGGTCACGCCGTGGTTCTCAAGGCACCGCCTGGCAGCAAGCAAAGGTCATCCTGCCCGCAGGCACGGAGATGCTGCGCTTCGTGAGCATCTCTACGGATTGGTATTTTGGAGTGTTTGCCTTGGACTCGCTGGTCGCCTGGGCGCCCGCAGGTTCAGGCGCCTGACAGATAAGGTAAGTTGCCAAAGCCTTTGTCAGAAGCCTTTCTCTTCCTCGATCTTCTACGCCAAGCCACCTATGCGACCAGGTTACAGTACGACCGCACTCGTCTAATTTTCATCCTAAAAGTTGCAAATGCGCTGCTACCTCTCTTGTTCAGCTGGAGCGTTCATGCATGACTCGTGCACGCTAAAGTCCTGAACAAGTACGGTAGGATGTAGGACGATGTAGGATGTAGCAAAAGGTAAATGAGGCAGGACTTTGACATGCGAAAGAGAGGGAGGGAGAGAGAGAGAGAGAGAGGCAGAGAGAGAGAGAGAGAGGGAGAGGGAGAGAGAGAGAGAGCGAGAGACTTCAGAGACCATCCGCAGGTCCAGTGCCTCTGGTTCCCTTCTCACTGTATACAAGAAATGACCACAACTGTGCCATCATCTGGGCGCGTGGTGGTTTGAAGTGTTGGGGAAGCGGAAGAGATGGCCGTACTGGCTACGGCGCCACAGTCAAGCTCGGCGACGGCCCTGGAGAGATGGGTGTCGACCTTCCCTTCGTGGATCTGGGTGGCCAAAAGCCGGTGCAGATGAGTTGTGGAAATTGGTTCAATTGCGTTGTGCTCGATGGCGGAACAGTGAGCTGCTGGGGAGGTCAAGGCTCGCAAGGGCAGCTCGGGGACGGCTCAGGCACAAGAATTGGCGACGAGCCCATGGAGATGGGAAGAAATCTGCCCACGGTGGATTTGGGGACGGGAGCCGTCGCGCTCGAGGTCGCTGCCGGCATTTATCATGTCTGTGTGTTGCTGCGCGGTGGTTCCGTAAAGTGTTGGGGACGCGGATTCAGCCTCGGCTTGGGTGACACGTGCGTGCCTCAGTTGTGAAGATCTTGTGAAGGCCGGTGCAGGCAAGTGCAGACTGTGGCCGCTGTGTCAGCTCTGTGCTTGACATAGTCTTGACATCTTTTGACCCTGGGTCCCGGCTGCCGGCGCAGTGCTAAGCCGCTAAGGCTGACTCGTGGCGCTCTGCCCGAGCACATGGGCGATCGGCTCCCCTTCGTCGACCTCGGGACTGACTTCCACGCTGTGCAAATCATCGTAGGGGGTGAGCATTCTTGTGCATTGTCAAGCCAAGGCAAGGTCAAGTGCTGGGGAAGAGGTCCCGCCGTCGGCCTGGGCTTAGATTGGGATCAGAATTTCCAATACACAAATATTTGGGATCAGAGAGTGGGGACCTCGCCCGGCCACATGGGCGACCAGTTGCCCTTCTTGGATTTGGGCCTCGAAGTTCTGCAGATCACTGCAGGCAACTTCCACACCTGTGCAGCCGCTTGCATGCACCATCCCAGTACCTTCCCAGTACCATCCCAGTACCTTCCCAGTACCTTCCCAGTTCCCAGTACCATCCTGTGGGGCATCCTGAAACCGTCACTGAAGCATTAAGAAAGCTTGTTTGAGCTTGCAACATCTTGCAACTGCTTCAGGTGCTGGCGGATCACTCCTTGAAGTGCTGGGGCAATAACCATTATTCCGCGCTGGGCCACGGTACCGGCGTGAACGATGTTGCGACTGTACAAGTGGATGCAAACCTCCCCAAGACTCTGCTGGGCAGCGGCGTGTCCGTCATGAAGGTGGTAGGTGGCATAAGCCACACCTGTGCCATCCTGCAGGATGAGACTCTGAAGTGCTGGGGCCGAAATCACAATGGACAGCCATGACCTCAGTGCAGCCCTCGTGCATAGAGACCTCTGCACGCCTGGTGACCCGGGTGACCTGAGGCTCGGACAGGGAAGCGTGGAGCTTTTGGGCAGTCGGCCGGAACACATGGGCGATGCCTTGCCCGCCGTCGACCTGAACAATCTCGGAGTACGCGAGGTGCATGCATGTGCATGCGATGTCTAGAGTCGTCTAGAGTCTATACGAAACTTGCGTGGATCCTTTGCCGGCAACTCCAGGAATCTCAAGGTCCATGCACAGCCAATCACAACCATGAAACCATAGGCACTGCCCATCCGCTGCCTATCCACTCCGAATCCAGACCTGGAATAGCTTGCAAGATTCCCAAAGAATCCTTTTTGGTGGCCTGCGTTTCTTGGAATCAGCTAAATGAAGGAAGCCCTCTGCGACTGCTTGTGGTCAGGTCATCGCGGGTGCTTCTCACACCTGCGTGCGGCTGGAGGATGACAGCACACGTTGCTGGGGCCTCAACACCGATGGCCAGCTTGGCCTTGGGCACACCGAGAAAGTGGGTGATGACCCCGGCGAGATGGGAGCAGCCCTCGTGCCCGCCGAGCTCTTTGAGAAAGAAAAGCCGGGTGCTGGCCTTGAGGGTCTGAGTATTGGCGGAGGCTCAAGCGAGGGCTGGCTGCTGCTGCAGCACAACGGCTCTTTTGGGCTGGTCTGTGACGATGGCTTCACGGATGCCACAGCGCAGGCGGCCATTGGCATGTGTTTCCAGATAAGCAGGAAGGGTACTTTGTTCATCGCCGGGCTTCTACATCTCTTGCAAAGCTTTTGAGCGCGAGCCTGCATCTTGTTGTAGATGTCCACCGAGTTTTCTCGTGATTGTCCCACTTTGGGAATGGTGGAGAGTATCGCAGAGAAGGGGACGCTTTTCGGGGCCGCCTTGAGGGCGGAATGTGGGCACCCCGCAGCGGGGGAGGATGGGGATGCCCTCCCCATTGAATTGCAGATCATGAGAAAGATGCTTGCCCAACCACTGCGAGAATGCTAGAGACGCCAGACGAACAGATCAAAAAAAACCACACTTTACCGCTAATGTGCACAGCCGTGGGGGGGGGGGGGCTTCGGGACTCAGAATTTCCGCGAGACGAGAAATGTACACAGGACCCTCTTGTTGGTGTAAAAAATTTCAATATGTTTCCAGAGAAGTCAAGCCGTGCGTGTAAAGAATCACAATCAGGTTATGTAAGGTTCTGAATGATGGTTCACATGCATGCGCTCGCACTGCTGCCGGCATGAGTCATGACAACGCCTCTCAACACTCCATTGGGTTTGCCTTGCCTGTACAGGCGGTCAGTTTAGGATCACTCAAAAACATCACATCAGAAACTGGCCCAAGAATCAGAAACTACGAATCAGAAATTGCGAATCAGAAACTGCAAACCAGAAACCATCTGTGTCAGAAACTGCACTTCAGAAACTGCGCATCAGAAACCCACTGAATTTGAAACTGCGCATCAGAAACCCGTGCGAACGCATGACAATCCCGTGCGTCGGAAGTCTGCGCGAATCAGAAACTGAGAGCCAGAAACACTGGATCGGGAACAAGCCCGCTTGATTCAGCAGAGTTTTACGAGATCATCCCCGGACGGTGTGGCAAATGGTTCAATCTCAGTCCCACGCACTCACTCACTCACACTCAGCAGCCCCTGCAGGTACAAAGCCCTGCACACCTCCATGCAGGCCTAGGTCGCTCAAGAAGATCCAAAAAATGCTCTTAAGTGTAACGGCATGTGTGTTGACATGCAAAGCTGCGGTGTAGAACGGTTCTGTGAGTTCCCGAATTTTTCACCGCAACCCGCAAACAGTTCTTCAGATGGTGGCATGAGATATTTCCGGGTAAGACGAAGCATTTCCCACTTTTTTGCTTTACCGATGCCAGAAACCTGAACATATTGATCAACATGTCGTGAGAGCATGTAGCGTGGGTATCTGTGGCTTGGGGATGCAAACAGCAATAGCGAGACGCCACGTGCCACATGCCCCCAAGAGGAAGGAGCGGGAAGTTTGGAAGTGGTGCGGCAGCCCTGCTGGGACCATCAGTTGTCTCCTCCGCATGGGAACGAAGACAACCTGGGTGCCCGTTGTAGTCGTTTTGCCGCCAACCTGATGAGAGCGAATGAATGTGCTGCTTCTGGCTTCCGCATTTCCAAACAGAGGCTTTTTCGTTTTGAAGGTTTTGCAGGTTTCTTAGCATAAGGGATCAAGGTTCAAACCAAAAACAAAGGGAGCAGTGGGAAGCTTCGAAAACCACAGTTCCCCCCCCCCCCCCTCCCCCCCAACAAAAAAACAAAAATGTGTTGGGAAGCTTCAAGTCGGCGGTTTAGGGTTTAGGGACAGCTGGTGACAGAAAGCAGCAGCCAGAGAAACCGGACAGCTTCTGACAGCAGAATGGTTTAGGGTTTAGGACAGCTGGTGACAGAAAGCAACAACCAGAGAAACCGGACAGCTTCTGACAGCAGAATGGTTTAGGGTTTTAGGACAGCTGGTGACAGAAAGCAGCAACAAGAGAAACTGTACGGTACAGTCCCCACAGCCTTGTCCGTCAGTGAGGCCCCTCGCTCCGTTTTGGTTCAGGAGCTTGTGCTCCGCCCTGGTAGGAGTTGGCTTTTTCTTGCGCCGGTCTCAGAGGGGCCCGCATCCTCCACGAGAAGTGAGCACTCCGCTTGTGGAGCTGCCTGTGTCGGGGCCAGACCCTTGGCCTCCATAATTTTGTGTCGCACAGGCCATGCCACTGTGACTCTGTATCTTCGCATGTCCTTCAAGGGCCGTAACGAGGCAAACTCTCTGAAATCTCTCAAAGCCGCACCGCATCTTCGCTGGTGGCACATGACATTGAGCACGTCAACATTGGCTGCCAAAACACGCCAGTTCGCCTGCGAATCGTAGGTTGTCAAGGAAGCGACTGAGAGCCGATTTGCAAGAGGCAGGGACCAAAGTGCTTTCCATCGGCTTCCCCATCGGCTTGACGCATCGGCGTGCCTAAACCACACAGGGGGGCTCATGAAAACTAACATGCCGCTGGCATGTGCAAACCTGAGTGGATCTGCGATATGCGTGGGTCTGCTACCAGTAGCATTGCAATGGCCAAGTTCATTGCGTTCTAAGCTCATGCCTTTGGCTCCTCAGGTGCCTTCATGGCCTGAGGCCCTGTGTGCAAAGAACTTTGAAACGCACCTGGTGGCACCTAAAGATGGCCGGCCTTCCACCACCTTCAAGCCCACATAGCCCATTCTTCGTGGCTGTGCCATGGCTATATTATATATATATATACACATACACATACATACATACATACATACATGCATACATACATACACACACACATTGTCAGCGTTCACCCATACACCGGATACAGGATTTGCTCATACATGCTGCACTGCTGCGTCTTGCTCATTCAAATCATTTTGCAAACATCAAGCAAACCTTTGGAAAATTTGGCCAGCATCACCCGCAGGCAGCTTCCATGTCCTTCACGCCTTCACGCCATCTGTAGCTGCAGGGACCCGGGACCCTTAGGGTGCACAGTTTCCGGATCGCCCATGGTCTGATTCAGCCGTCCTGCCTGAAGTCAGTTTTCTCGCAGACGGCCCCAAAAGCGTGGCCGCCCAGATTCAGCTCTGGGTCGAAATTTAGCCCCAGAAGTGCGGCCCAGATTTCCACCATACAGGCCAGATGACGGACGCTGAGTCCTCGTGTCGTTCCTACTTCCTTTCATCGACAATTGAGCGTTAGTCCGGCCTGACCGTAGGTTCACGTCTGACGCGGTGGTTTCCGATTCACGTCAGGTTTCCGATCTTCTGTTGTGGTTTCAGTTTTTGTCCGTCGAAAATGCTCGGACCCAATCCTACACTACGCACACATACCCAACTCGATACCAGCCCGAGCCACGCAAATCGGCTTGGAGCCAAAATGCTGTTTCGCGCAAAAGAAACCACCTACAACCCGCCCCCCTCCCGCCCTGTGTGCATTTCCGGCCAGTCCAGGAAATCCCAGGAACCAACAGGGCGAAAAGTAAAAAACACGAAAAGGGGGGGGGGTTCCGTCGGTATCACTGCTTCCGTGCTTAGAGCAGACGAAGAGATCAACGCAGGTGGCCTGCCGGGATGCTGGCATGGCAGGCGGCCGAGCCTTGTTCAGGGACCCCGCCTCTTCGCTGGACGACGTGGTTGCGGCGCTTGCCGAGCCTGAGATCCTGGCCGACCGCCTCGTGTGTGAGGGCACGGAAGTCTTCCTGCGGGACTGCGCCTTCCGAGGCGAGCCTGTCATGATGGTGTTGGGATGTTTTTGGCCTGGAGGTGGGGAGAGGCAGAGGCTTTGGAGGCTTTGGAGGCTTTGGAGGCTTTGCGCTTTTCCAGTGCTTTGCTTCCGAGGTTGGCCCGTCCACGACTGCTCTGCTCGGGAAGCTGCAGGCCCGCCGACGCAAAGCGCTGCTCTGACCACGTCTGAGAGAGAGCCAAGTGCGAGAGGGTAGTAGCTGCTAGCCGGGTAGGAGTGGAGGTTCACAGTTGGTGGGTTCATTTTGGTGGGAGCGGCTTTTTGCAGTGACAGTGTTGTTTACGTTCAACTGTGTTCTTGCGGAGGCGTGCGGTGCGAGCTGGATGCCTGGAACGAGTACACGACGGCAAATGGCCCAGAGCCGCGCCAAGAGCAGGCCATGATCTGGGACCCGGACACTTCCTCGGCTTTGATGTTTGGAGGCCACGCTGCCAACACCTTTCAGTACTTCAATGACCTCTGGCTGTTCCACTGGCCTTCGCGAAGCTGGGCCGAGCTGCAGCCAGATGTTGGCTTTCCAGGTCCGTCGCCCAGATTCGGCCACAGCGCCGTTTGGGATGTGGTGTCGCGCACCATGCTGATCTTGGGCGGAAGTCACGTGCACGAGCGCTATGGCGAAATGTGGGCCTACGAAAGCACAGGAAACCGGTGGACGCCGTGGCTTTCGAGCGAAGGGCCCGGGCCACGTGTGTACCACACTGCTGTATGGGACCCGTTGCGTCGGGCCATGCTGGCCTTCGGTGGCGAGAGTGGGGTAGGCATCCTGGCGGAGCTCCATTACTTCAGCTTCGTGAGCCGAGAGTGGTGGCCTTTGAAGACTGGATTACCACGCAGCAAACACACGGCCTCCTGGGATGCTGCCATGCGGCGCATGCTGGTCTTTGGGGGCTGGGACGGGCAAACGCACCTTTCAAACCTCCAGCGCTATGATGCCAACTCCGACAGCTGGGCCGAAGTCACAGCCGCCGGCACCGTGCCGTGGCCGCGAAGTGGGCACGCTGCCGCTTGGGACCCTGCCTCCGACAGCTTCTTCTTTGTTGGAGGCGTGCAGAACCGAAGCGGCACGCTGAGCTTCAGCGACGGCTTCTTTAGCTTCAGCGTCCCCGCTGGCATTTGGACCGAGCTTGGGCCAGGAGACCATTGGACTCTAAGGGGAACGGGGAAAGCTGGCCCGAGTCAATTAAAATTGTGTCGAGTACAGCTTCATAAGGCGCATGGAACCGAAGACCAATTGTATCAAGTCATTTTTGAACCCGAGTTGTGCGCAAGCTATGTCCAAGGTGGCCCCTGCCATGGCAAAGCGGGGCAGGGTGAAGTGTAGTGTACTGGGGTGCTGAGCAACAGGTCTCCTGCATCCTGGTATCCGAAACCAAAGCTCCGCAACTCATCCCGAAACACAACCTCCCGGGGCGTGCGAGGAGCTCTGGCAGGCCCATCTGCGCGTGCTTCTTCAAGCATGGTCTTCGATGCAGCCTCTCCAGCGTTGCTGCTCTTTGGCGGCTTCAATGGCTCCTACCTGGGTGAGACGTGGAGGTATGTCATGACTCCCACTCCAACTCTACGCTGCCAGCTGGGCCAGCCTTGCCTACCAGCAGGTACGGATGCTGGCAGCCTGAACATGGACAATCTGCGGCTGAAAGCAAGTTGCCAAGACTCCCATGGCTTGCCGCCTTTGGATGGCAGGCGCTTGTTTGTGGAGCCGGAAAGCTACCAACTATGCTCCTGTGGCGGCAGTCCAGACTGCGTCCTAGCACAAGACTACACCGTCCCTGTGGGCCGCTTCATTGCCGAAGGGCCTTATGCCAACCAGTCTGCGCTTTGCTACATTGGCTGGAAGTGCACCGTCCCCATCTGGATGGGAGTCGGCGTTTCTACCAACGATTCTCTGATCACACGGAAGGATTGCCAAAATATGCTTGCGTCAACGTACAGCTTGATGGTCACTATACACGAATCTGCTCATGCTTGGCTCCTGGATGTGGGAGTGATCGACTCGGCTGGAACACCCGGAGTTGTGGAGCTTTGCTGGTGTCCTTTCAGCCATTCCTGCGATTCCGTGGAGGATGGGCTTATTTGTTTTTTGGCTTATCGCTTTGGTTCTGCTTGCTGTCGTTCTTCTTGTGACTTGTCGCAGCTATTGCTACTTTTTTGATTATTCCTGGCATTTTATCACCCTGGAGGACTTCCAAGCAACGGCGCTGCGCCTTCACATCCAGTGCCCGCCGGGGCAATACGAGCTCGAGAGCGAGTGCCATCCCTGCCCTGCAGACCGGTACTGCCCGGGAGGCTTCTGCGAACATGTGCCGTTTCTTGTTACACTACTACTCACTGTCATACCCTTACTACTTACTGTCTTTGGTTTGAATATGAAACGGGGCTGTCGCCCACAGCCGGCCACGCCCTGCGCCGACAAGCAGAAGAAAGCAGCAACAACAGCAGCGAGCAACAACAACTGTACCAATCGGATGCAAAGGTGGTGTCCTTAGCGGCAGCGGACAGTGCCCCCAAATCTTACTTATTCATGTTTCATAATTACTGCAAAGAACGACGCAGCAAAACGATGCAGCCAAGCGAATCTTTCGCGCCGTTTGGTCCCCTTGGGGCTCGAACGGAACCTTCACAAGCACCACGACCCCGGGCCCGCGCTGATGCCTGGCCGGTGCTGGACGATGATTTCTCCGACCACAAGTCCGTGATGGACTTCTACGACCACCGAACGGCAGGCAGGGAATGTCAGACCTAGAGGTCTTGATTCGGCAGCACGCTCTGAAGTCCGACGACCTTGCTGTGCAAGCGCGGTTTGAACGCTGTCGTGGCGCGGAGCGATCCTTGCAAAGTAAACGAGAACAACTTAAACAGCCCTATGATCGGAAAAGACCGAACGTGCATCATGGTTACCCCGTATGAACACAAGAGCCCTTTGAAGAAAATTCCGCCGAGAAAGTGCGAGAATAACAGAACAAAGTCAAGCTGGGAGGAAATTTCTGATGCTCATGATGTACAAAATTGTCAGTCAAGGGGACTCTGATGCTCATACGGGCTTCATGATCTGTTTTTCCTGCCCGTGTCGTGAGCCTTGTACCAGCCTTATCCCTCGGACATGCTGTTGGCCAGGCATGAAGGCATGAGGCACCTTGGAGCCTGTGTGGTTGGCATGCTGGGGTATGCTGGGGTGCTCGGCGATCGAGGCCAGCAAAGAGGTTGGGGTTCTCTTGGAGGGTTTGCGCGATGCCAGGGGCGAGATCACGATTAAACAGTCCACTTAAACGGTCTTGGTGAGAATACAATATCTGAAGAATTCACCATTACATAACATCTATATAGGCGTGATAAGACAGAGCCCGAATCCTGGCAGCTGGGTAGACGACGTCGTGACGTGAAAGCCGTAGTTCCTCGCCCCCCCCATTCCGCAGATGGGAGGACGTACTGTATATGTGCATGCTGGGCTGGTGTGGGCTGGGGCCCAACATGAATACCTGGAAGTCCAGGTGGCGTGTGTACATGTATGAAATTGTATGAAGAGGCGACTTGGCAAACCTATAACTGACCTTGCCTTACTGGTACTGAAAACGGGAATCCCTCGTACTGTAAGTAACTCGCAGGTGGGCCTCGATTTAGTGTCGCAGCAGAGTCCCTCGCTTAGCCAATAAGTGCACAACTCACACTACACAAGCAACTACACAAGCAACAACTACACAGCTAGCAGCGTGCAAGCACGGCTACGACAGTTCTCAAGAGTCTTTGGCAACTAGGCCACTCTCAACCTTCATAACACATTTACAAGGATATGGTGGGGTGGGGGTGGTTGGGGCGGTGGGGGCGGTGTAGACGGTGTGGCGCCCTTTAGAATGCCCCAAACAAGCACAAGGAGGGGAGGGGGGGGAGGGTGTCGGGCAGTGTGAGTGGTGGGCGTGGGGTTGGGCATTCGTTGGGGCCTTCTTCAATATTCAATACTCCGAACAAGGATATGGCAAGGCGGGGGGATGGGGGGGGGGGGGGGTGTGGGCGGTGTGGGTTGGGGTTGGGCATGCGTTGGAGCTCTTGAACAGCCATGACACCACCCCAGATCTTGGGAACCAGTACTTGTTCTCTCACGCTTGAAACGACATCGATAGCGTTGTCCGAAGTTGGCGAAAGAAGAAATATGTTTCGGCGACGACACCGAAACGCGCAGAGAAAAATGACAACTTGAAAAAGCAAAACATTACATCAATAAGCCACCAACGTGGGATGTGCTGGACTGATTTTGACACCAGCTTCCAGGGCACACGTGACAGTTTAACGGTGACTGTTTTTTGATGTTTTTGGATCTTGTTTGCGGGGGGTGAGGGGGCGGTGTGGGCTGGTAATGGGGTGGAGGCTTGGACTGTTGTTGCCGTCATTAATCCTTTCAAGGCCAGCAGTTGCGAAGCTGCCCGCCCGGGAGCACAGCTCCCAGCGGCTCCAGTCGGCCCCTGAGAAAGGGCAAAGTGTGTTTTGGACGAGAGCTGTAGTAGTAGTAGTAGTAGTAGTAGTAGTAGTAGTAGTACTACTACTACTGCTACTACTACTGCTACTCCTGCTGCTGCTGCTGCTCCTACTACTACTATTACTACTCCTACTACTACTACTACTACTACTACTACTACTACTACTACTACTACTACTATACTACTGCGACTACGACTACGACTACTACTACTACGACGACGACGACGACGACTACTACTACTACTACTACTACGACGATTACCACTAACACTCCACTACCACTACGACAACTCTGCTCCTACTCCTGCTCTCCTACTACCTACGACCCACTACCCACGACCCACGACCCACTACCCACTACGCACTACACTACCTACCTACTGCCTACTGCCTACTACCTACTACGTACTACCAACTACGTACTACCAACTACCTACTACTTACTACCTACTACTTACTACTACTCCTCCTACTACTCCTACTACTAACACTGCCACTACCACTACCACTACCCATACCCCTACCACTACCACTACCGCTACCGCTACCACTACCACTACCTCTACCACTACCACCACGACCACGACCACGACCACGACCACGACGACGACGACGACGACGACGACTACTACTACTACACTACTAGGACAACTACTAGTGGATTTGTAACTTGCATAGCACTTTGTGTATCGTTTGATTACACATTTTGTAAACGCAGCATACTGAGAAACCCTGGCTCCGCCAAGGCGAGCTTTCACACTGCATCTGCGTTCGC